TAACCTTAACATCATATTGTTGATGTTCGGCTTTATCTTCGCAGATCCAGAGCAACAATTCTACACCCGTTTAGGAAATTGAAGAAAAAACCAAAACAGGATCCTGCATTGCAAGTAACCTTAAAAAAATAGAAACGGCTTAATTCAAGGGAAACAACTTGGTTCCAAACCTCGACAGTAAATAGCGATAACGATCTTCGACAATAAAAAAAAAAAATCAGCATTTTAAACTTCACTACTCCCCCCCTTCCTCGACACCCACCCACCCACCCCCACCCCTACACCACACAGTGTTGGTGGCTATCAGACCATGCACTCGTGTTTATTTAAGCGTAGAAAAAGCGACGTTGAACGATATCGCTTTTGTGTGTATGCGGATTTTGTCGTCGGACGACCGGTAACAGTGGGTAGGGAGGGGCGACATAGTGAATGTCAACCGATATATGTATATATGTATGTGTGGGGTGGTTGTGTGTGCAGATGGGTGTATCTAGGTTGGGCGGTGTCGTTTGCGGTAAACGTTGTTTCAAATGTAACACTATGCACAGCAAAAACAGATTCAATTGAGATAGGATAAATGTAACCGTTGTTTATTATATGTATATATGTAAGTCCTATACATACATACATACATATATATATATATATATATATATATATATATATATATATATATATATATATATATATATATATATATATATATATATATATATATATATATATATGTGTGTGTGTGTGTGTGTGTGTGTGTATGTATGTATGTATACATCAATGCACGTTTTTAATATACATGGTATAGGCACCATATAACGGAAAAGAATATACAGCTGTGTTTCTGTATTATTTAACAAAGCGAGTTATTGTCGCCAGGTTCTTGATATTTCTGGTGTATGTGTGGGTGGGGTCATAGAGTGTGGGTGCGAAAGGTGGGGGGGGGGGGGGCTAGGACTGGAAGTTGAATCAGATCATTAAACCACGTGCAAGATGTCGCTTCCAGACGCAGACGCAGACAATACAACACACACACAAATAAAGTAATTCTCTCATTGATCGACACTCCCACACTCCGATTACCACACTCCCACAGCTGAACCTGACCCACTCCCTTCCTCCCCTCCCCCGCCTGTACACCCCACGGAGACGCACGCGCAGTGATTATACCCCGGGTACGCTACTAGCGGATGGTGTACGCTGCTAATTGCGCCCCCACTCCCCCAGACTCTCCACCTTACAACAAAGATGGCGTCAGGACGCTCCCCAACCAACCCCACCCCCACCTCGATGCGTGACATCAATTACGCTTTTGTAAACCCTAACCCTAAACATTGACCAACGTAATTGCAGGAAGGTTTTTTTTTTTCATCTTTCTATTTTTTTAAAATCAATAATCAGGTGATAAAGACATGCTATAAAGAAGGGGGGGGGGGGGGGGGAGAGAGAGAGGGAGTGTGGGTGGATGTAGAGCTAATGCAATCTCACTGCATTTATTTTATTTACTTTTTTGTTGTTGAAATTTCAGTCGTTATAATTTATAACTTAGAAAAAGTTTCTCAGTAATTATCTGAATCATAGGAAGTAAATTGCCCAAATATGTGCCACCATTTTTTAATAGAATATTTAGAGATTACAAAGACGATGCCACTGTTAGCGTAGGCGTACCACGCCATACTAAAGCGCCTGATGTCGCAATAGCATCAAATCTTAAAACCTAAATCCTAATATTAAAACTAATAAACACCCATACAGCAGAAGGATTAAAGCGCTTTCGTGCAGGTGAGGCTACATTGGTACCTGACTTAATCCTAATCTTAATCCAAAAAACTAAAAAAAAAAAAAAAAAAAAATTAACCAAAAATAATTTTTCATATTCTTATCACGGGTTTAACGTGAAGTACCTTAAATCCAAACCCTAACGTTTAGTAAACTACCTACTGCGCTTAGATTATCTGCATCAAAACATGTATTGTGCTTCAGCTTCTTCATCAAGATAATAACGACCCACAGAGGAAGAAAACAAAACTTCATACCCACTTATAAAACCATGGCTGAGATTGCTAATCTACTTTAAAAAAAAATACTTCTAATCTTGAAAGTGTATACATGACACACGCGAATGTCAAGTAGACAGCCTTCAAATAATCTAACCATCCCTAACCATCCCCAGCCATCTTTCCTTCCCCCCCCCCCCAACTCACCATCTTTAAATTTATCTATTTCAAAACTAATCTCTTTAGTTTGTACTGAGACAAACGAATATAGAAACGGGAATTCCCTTTCATAAGTACTTATCGCATGAAGTATCATCAGGATAAAGATAATTGTGAAACGTTAAGGAGGGGATGGAGAAAACGTGTTAACTTATAGTGGAGCTGGATTAGATTTAGCTAAGAGGCTTAGGATTGGGGTTTGGGTTGGGTTAAGGATGATCAGTCCGTGTTTGATCACAAAAGGGTTTAATTAGATTGGTCTAAAAAGGGTAGAGCTTTTGGGTTAGGCTAAGGATTAACAGTCCGTATTTGATCACATAAAGGTGACTTAAAGGTCTAATTAGATCGGTCTAAGAAAGGTAGAGCTTTTGGGTTAGGCTAAGGATTAACAGTACGTATTTGATCACATAAAGGTGACTTAAAGGTCTAATTAGATCGGTCTAAGAAAGGTAGAGCTTTTGGGTTAGGCTAAGGATTAACAGTCCGTATTTGATCACATAAAGGTGACTTAAAGGTCTAATTAGATCGGTCTAAGAAAGGTAGAGCTTTTGGGTTAGGCTAAGGATTAACAGTACGTATTTGATCACATAAAGGCGACTTAAAGGTCTAATTAGATTGGTCTAAAAAAGGTAGAACTTTTGGGTTAGGCTAAGGATTAACAGTACGTGTTTGATAACATAAGGTTTTAATTAGATTGGTCTAAAAGGGTAGAAATTTGGGTTAGGTTATGGATTAACAGTACGTGTTAGATCACATAAAGGTCTAATTAGATTGGTCTAAAAAAATTAGATATTTTGGGATAGGTTTAAGGTCATGTTTTAACTAGATGCTTAAGCTTATAGGCTGGATGTAATTAATCTCAAGGGTTATACTATCGTGTTAGGCTTACATTTACTATAAGGTTAGGCATTGGGTGAAGATTGACAAACCTGAACTAGAATTGTGCACGATCTAAGGTTGGGGTTAGAGTTTGTTAGTATGTGTAGAGGGAGTAGCAATTGAGTGGGTCTGAAAACGTATTTGTCGTTGTAGTTATATTTAAACCAAAACTAAATTTAGTTTAGGTTTGAGGTTAGAATTTGCCTTCAACATAAATGTGTTGAAATAGACCTAAAGACCCATAGGGGGCCTATATTCAACAAAAGTTGTTTTGTTTTGTATCCCAGTTGACGATGGCATTAGAACTGCCTGATATTGTCAGGAAATAATACATATTCGTTAAAGTAAGACCTGTCTTTAGTAGTTAACTATGGTTGTATCAATAATCTTTACTACGAATATACTTTAATCATAACTAACTACAAATTTGCCTACTATAACAAATCAGTGACAGTGGTGTTATGTGGATTTTTGCTGACATACAATACTAACATTCTACCAAACAGTGACTAAACTATGTGCATACAAGTTTCCTAACTGCTACATAACCAATCACACACTGGTCTAAAGCAGACATTTATAGACTCCGTTAAGTGCAGGATTAATTAGATGTAGCTGCATTTTTGTAATTGACATTAGCATAGGAGTAATGCAGCGTTGTGAAATGGATAGTGTATGTAGGTTTAGTTTGTTGGTTATGTGTAGCTCAGTAAATTAGTGCACTTAATCAATTAGTAGTAATGAAATCGTATGTACATGTACACATAGTTATTTAGTAATATGCTAATTAATATAATAAAGCATGATATACCAGTATACAAGCACTTGAAGGTTTTGGATTAGTTTTTCCACATTATGTAACTTATCGTTATTTCGTTTTTGTTAGAAAAAAATAATATTAAAACTCATGTTTTGTCTATGTACTTAGCTTAATAACCCGAGTTTATAATCAATAGCATTTATCTGTAGCCTACATAAAATCTATCAATAATCTAAATCTACATCAATCAATAAACTATGTACATCAACATAATCAATCTACCTATAAACTATCACTATCTAGCGATCTAGGTGTATTATAGATCTAGTACTTCTTAAGATCTTTACTTTAGCTTATGTACATACGTTTCATATATCAACCATATTATGTGTATCAAAACTAAAAACAATAAACTAATAATAAACTATTCGTATCAACAGAATCGATTGAAATCTACAAATAACTTGCTCACCCTTTGCACAATGTTACATACATGTTAAGGTGTTTGAATTAGGGGGAGGGGGGGGGGGGGTTAATGTAGGGTAAATAAACAACTTATTTATTAAATGTTAGGAATGTTTATAACTTCAGATATAACTTCGTAGTGAGTAAATGGTACTAAAAAAGACACCACTGTACTGACAGTGGCATGTTGAAAGAGTTTTAGACTAAACCTGGGCTACAGAAGGAAATGATGGAAACGTGTGAGGGGAATGTGTGGGTGTGGTGTTGGGGGAGGGGGGAGGGGAACGAGCTCACACTACAGGTACAATGTGTAGGTGGTGCATGCTGTGTAGCCTGCATTAAAATAATCATAATTAATTAACGGAATTAATTTCAGACAACCCAATATACGAAGCTGATCTCAGGGAACTTGAGGAGGTAGATGGTGCACAAAATACGACAATTCTAACCTCAGGTACCACACTAATCATAAGGCAAACATGGTTTTAAAAAATACCACAACAACAACAACTATAACAACAACAACAATGTGTTTCTCCTCACGTAAAAACTAAGCATTAACAACCAAAATAAACAAGCCCACCTGTGATCATTGAAATATGTTGTTATCATTTGCTAATTAATAATTAATTTTAGATTCAACACAAAATCGATTAGATTAAAAATATATTTTTAAAAATTATTACCTGAAAAAGCACTTTTTCTCTTGAACAAAACAATATTTTTACAAATAATCCAAAGCACAGTACAACTTCTAGAATCTAGTAAATAAACAATACTTTGATCACTAATCCTGGAATTCTATCTCTCAATAAAACCTTAAACTAACATATCGGAAATGAAATCCGATTTTTAAAATAACAACTTTGAAAAAAAAAATTCAACCCTAGCGGTGAAAAAAATAAACACACGCAACACAAAGCAGCATCCGCTCCATGAAATAAAAGGTCCATGCAGTTAGGTCCTCTCCCTAGGTCCTTCCTGCTATCAACAGGTCACAAAATAAATCCCAGCTCAAATCGGCCCGACTAAAACACAGTGGATGAACTTGGTCAAGACCGGCAACCCGCACTCTCTACCCCACCTTTCTTCCCCACTTGGTATCAACCACCTGTACAGTTTCGCGAGAGTTTTCTCCCCCTTTACGACGACGCGACGTAGTCTTCCCGCCACCAACGCAACGGGCCTTCGCTTCGGCCGAGTACGTCTCACTTCACCGTTTATTTTGGAGTTACTTCCCCTTAACCCTCTTTTTTTTCTCTCCCCTCTTTCTTTTTTTTTTTAGGTAGGCTCGGCTTGGCCTAACCAGTCAGCTGGTACTAAAATAAAATAAAAAATTGTAATCGGAGAATTTAAACGAAGCAAGCATCGGGGACTAGATTCTGTCACAGCAAGTTTTAAAAAACAAATGTAAACAAAAATAAACATTAAGGTTTTGTATTTAAAAATATAAAATTATGCAGTTGAACATCCAGACAAAAGACATGTTTTTTTTCAGCTCCCTCCCCTCTATTTCTTAATCATCGTGCTATCGACTAATGTGGAAAAATACGGGAAGATTGAACGAAGGGGTGCGGTGTGGGGGGGGGGGGGGGGTAAAGATGGGGGAGGGGGGGGGGGTGAAGAATAGAGTGAAAAATTAAGAGATCCTGAGGTTGATTGGGCTGTGGAGTAGGGATTTGGGGGTGGGGCGGAGGGGTGGAGAGATGGGGTGGGGTGGGGTCGGGGATGTGTCTGACAACATGCATTAGGGGGAGTATAATGAAATATTGAAAATTGAGGGTGGACGTGGACGGTGGGGGGGGGGGGGGGGGGGGTTGAGTGGACAAAGGGGTGGGGCTGGGGGGAATTAATGAGTCAGTTAAACGTTATTGGAGGATTGTGTCCTGTCTCCCCCCCCCCTCCCCCCCCCCCTTCTGTCTGGACACCAAGCGATTGTGTGTGACCGTTTTTTTAAACAGGCGAGGTCATTGAGACTTTGTTAACTGTTTAAATTTGGGGAGTGGGGCTGGGGGGGAGGGGTTGATGATGGCTGAGGGTGGGGGTATACTGGTGGGGGGTCTGTAGTTATGCTGAGATGTGGGGATGGGGGTTGGAAGGGTCAAAAAAATATTCGTTGCGATTGATGTGTGTGTGGTTGGTGGGATTGCAAGAGGGGTGAAGGTTTGTGTGTGTGGGGGGGGGGGGGGGGTTGGGGATGATTATAGTATAACGATGAAAATGGCAAAGAAAGGCGTAGTGTCATAGGGACTATCTAAGTGTTAGTGGAAGTAGAGGAAGGCAGAAGAGGGAATGGTGGTAGGAGGGAAGTAGGTGGATGTGGAGGAGAGGGAGGTGGGGGGATGTAGAGGAGAGGTGGGGGTGGAGGCAGAGACATGTATTGGTCGGACACTTGTCAAGCCTGATATTTTGTGTAAAAAATCTGGCACCAACGCAATTTTCTCTCACGTCCCCAGCGACTCCCCCATGCACCCCCTAGCACGCCAGTGACTGGGCGCTGATGAACAGCTGTCCTGCGCCCCAACTCCCCCAGTACCGAGCCCCAACTCCCCCAGTACCGAGCCCCAACTCCCCAAGGTACTTAAAAATAATCGAAAAAAATAACATGCCCATATCTGTTGAAAACTTTAAAAAATTGATGGCGGAGGTAATACAAAGATTTAAGTGTTATTAATGTTTATTGCTTTGGATTAGGGTTATATTTAAAAAAGTTAGTTTTATGGTTAAATTTAAGTTGAAGCTTAAATTTAAAGTTCTAGTTTAGAATGGGGTTAAGGTTAAAATTGTATTAAGTTTTATTTGGGGACTTCTTTCTTCTTCTTCTTCTTCTTCGTTCTTAATTTTAGTGTTGGACGGGATCCCCTCCAACACAATTGAACCGAGACTTTTCGGTTCGGCAACATTGAGCTTTACCAACTCGACCCCCTTTTTGGGGTCGAGTTTAAAGTTTAAGCCCTAACGCCATGATTTAGTTTAGGTTTGGTTGTTACTGTAGTGAATGATCAAGGGGCCGATATTGCGTCCGGTGTTTAGAACATATTGTACACGTAATTTTAAAAGATCTACATGCGATCAAAAGTTTGGGCTGCTATTATAAACTGCCGACACTAAACAAGACCACAATGCGATCGCTTCAATGTGAAGATCATGTAATACACCCCTAATGGTCAGTCCATTGTGCAGGTGAAGTCGAGTTGTCCACAGTAAACCCCGCGGTCGTCTCGGTTACAGGTTCTTATGCCTAATGAAAAGCGCCGCATTTACATGTTCAAAAGTCGCATGCGGCTCATGAGCCATGGGGGGCTCTCACCTCTTGGCCGAGCCAAACAGAAGTAATCAGTATCAGTAAAGTGAATAGGGCCTACAGACCCTCTCTAGTTCTTCCCACCAGAATTTGTCGAATTTCTAAAAAGGACACGCTAGTATAAATAGCTACTAGCAGCCTAGTTCTATACATGAAACAAACACACAGTAAGTAATTAGAGATCTTAACCAGTTTCTTTCATGCAACACTTTGGGGTGGGAAGAGCATTGCTCCCTCTCGGCACCCCCCCCCCCCCCCCCCCCACCACACACACCTACAACGGACGAAAGAGAAATGATATAAAATTTGACTAACTTACTGATTCTTTAGACAGGCCCGCCTCTCCCCTTTAAGTTTCATTCAACCCCAGCCGACACATAAGCACAAGTGCATTTAAACAAAAGAAATGTACTTTCACATTTCTTCAAAGTACCCGCTCCTCCCCTTCCCATCGAAAAGTTTCACCCCCCCCCCCCCCCTACCGTCTACCGAAAGAAAAAGTAAATGTCTTAAAGAAACCCTGATTTTAACTCGTTCAAACTAAACTAATTAAATAACTGAACAATTTTTTTTTCTGCTCACACTGTCCACTGCACTAAATTAACGAACAAAAACCGACTCGCTCACACCCGTCTGACCTGCCCGCGCCGCCGCGTGCACGCGGATGTCACGGTGTGAGTTAAACCTAATTTCGTGGTCTTGTTTCTAAATTTAGCCACTGTCCCCCCATGCGCACCAGGCTGCGCTCATTACACCCGAGAGTTTTGTTGTCGGGAAAATCCGATTACGTCAGTCACGTTTTGTGACAAGTCCAAATAAATGCGCCAGTGTGCTGACGTTTGTTTAGAAGAGGTAAGTGGTAGGTTTTTGTTTAGCGGTACAGATTGTCCTGTACTTTAGACCAGTGCTGTGCACTTTCAGCGGGGTGTTGTTTCTGCTTTCAGTTCTAAAAGAACAGTGTTTCTTCCAGACTTTTTTCTCCGGGGTGATGGGGCCCTTGAAATTTTCGGGGGAGGGGGGGGGGCGGTCAACATTTTTCGGGGGGGGGGGGGGGGGGCGGACACTAGTAAAAGTGTATGTTTACTATATAAAATCCATCTCGTTCGGGGGACGGTAGACTTTTTTCGGGGGGGGGGGGGGTGGCCCTCCCACCGAAGAGATTCCTGGAAGAAACTCTGTAAAAGAAGGATCTTGATTTAGCTATCACTGTTGTAGAGAAAGAAAAAAAAAACAAGGAGCTATTTCACAATCATAATGTGAATTTACCCCCCTCCCCAATATGTCCTTATTCACAAGTGGTGTCTAACCACCTTACGGTGTGTTACTTTATGCTGGTGTATTTGTGATAGTGTCCTACGTTATAATGGTAGTAGTATATTAGGTCCCTTTTGGGTATTATTTTTGGCGGAGGTGGGGATGGGGAGGAACAATGACATATAGGAAAATACTCGGGAGCAGGATGCGCGGGTGGCGCAAAGAGATATAGTAAAATACTCCCAGCCTGGCGCATCGGGATGGGGAGGGTGGGTGAGCAGGATGTGGGGGTGGCGCAAAGACATATAGTAAAATACTACGCCAACTGGTGTTGGCGGAGGTGGTGGGGAAGTAGGTCACCTTTTGGTGACCTTGTGACGTAATCATTGCCCTTGTGACGTAATTAATGACTTTTTTAATGCGTTTTTAATTAGTTTTAATTAATTTTTTTTAAATTTTAATTAGTTTTTTAATTAGTTACGTAATTTAATTACTTTGTTTGTGTTTTGTTTGTTTAATTTGTTTGTTTACTTGTTGTTTAATTTAATTACTTTGTTTATATTGTGTAATTTTTATTAACGAGTTACGTAATTTGATTATTTGTTTACTTTTTAATTATTTTTATTTTGTTTATTTTTAATTTAATTTAATTTTATAATTAGTTAAATTATTATTAACTAGTTACGTAATTTGATTTTAATTACTTTTGTTTATTTATTTATTTGATATATTTCTTTTTCTTTGATGTTTAATTTGTTGGTTTGTTTGAATGTATGTATGTTTAAATAAAAGACTAACACTAGCCGTGTACTTTGTGAATAACATCCATTAAAGATAACGATCAGGCGACAGCTGTTACGTATCGATCCGCGATCCTTTGTTGACACACGCTGCGCGGTTTTTAATGGGTTTTATAATGTTGTCCCATATAATTAAATTGGTTATGCTTCACCGATTTTATGCGTTGTTCGCCGACCCGATCACAGCAGGGGTTCCGCGTTTAATTGAAAGAGCTAAGTGGTTAACCACAAAGCCAGCGTTAAGTGTGGGAACACCTGTTACCATGACACGCGCCTCGTAGTGATTAATGGGTTTTATATTGATCCAACCCACGGGCCATCACAGCATGATGTCCCACCTAATTAAATTTTGTTATGCTTCACCGAGTTTCCCCGATCGA